GAAGCTACTAGTAACAAGTGCCACGCTAGTAGTAACAGGTGCCTTACTAGTAGTAACAAGGGCATCGCTACTAGGAACAAGCGCCTTACTAGTAACCAGTTACGAATTACCGTGCCATGGTCTTGAGATGGTGGTGATGCCGTGCAGGCGCCTTTTAGAGCATAAGAAGAGCCCCCTCTAAATGTTGCACGGTCTGTTTTTTTGTGAATGCTGTTGTCTGTTCTTTTTTGCACAAAAGCGTGCACGCTGTTGTTGTCGATTGCCCCATCTCCGGAAGCATTTGCATGGACACCATCAACAGGCCTTCATCTCGGAGATAAAGCATGATAAAACGCTGCCCTGAACTCACGCATTTCGGGTGCTCCTTTCTTGTTCATATTCTTTCTAAGATGTAAATAGTTCTTGATTTTTGAGCTTGACATGAAGTTGTTTCCAGTTTTAGCACTTTGACTGGGCAGTGAGAAAAATCATACTCTGATTCCCTGCTCGAACCTCATCGGCACGGAGTGAATGGTAGGTAGCCGTACCTTTCATCATGAAACACCAGCGCTCCAAAAAATGGTCGGCCTGTATCTGGAGAGTTTGGGTTCTGTTTCGATCTTGCTTTCCGTCAGGAAGATGAAAGGTGAACAAGGTGAGCAGAGCTTTGATGCAGCCAGCGGACTCCGCAGCTGCCAACTCAGTCATCGGTCAACTGTGGGTCTCGGCTGAGTTTCTGCATGTTCAGCCGATTCCCCAGGTTCAACGCTTTGGTGACTCGTCGAAGGCCGAGATCTGCCCTGCTCAGCAAGTCTACCACTGGATCCTAAACTGATTCGATTCTGTAAGGTCAAGCCGAGTCGTCCAGCCGCGATGCTTGGGGAGTTTTGCAGGCTCGAATCATCCTCTTCTATTTGCTGACCAGACTTTGAAAAGGCCTAAGAACTGGAGGACGGATCCGTTTCTGATGGCCTGTGATCCAAGTTGAAAGACATCTGAAACTGTACTCAGGAAGCTTGCCGAGCTAGCTAGCTTCACTGAAGATTCGTGAAGGCCTCATTAGGCCTTTATGCAGCACAATATACAGCCAGTCAAGGTTGGCAGCTTTCATGTTTGCAAAGCAGTTGTTGAAACCTATTGTTGCAGCCACATTGCTGATCTGAAGGTCTGGACGTATGTGGTTGACGGTGAAAGGATATCGTCCTGCAGCTGCTGAGAAGGTCATCGGTCTTTGACAAGCGTTTTCTTTCAGAAATCAACATGCCAAGCCCATTTTCTTTAACCACATGCTGCCTTAGATAAAGTATCATATACTCATGTAGCCTTTTGCTAAGTGCACTACGGAAGCACGATGCCTTGAAAGACCGAGAGCCTGAGCCTTCGCATTGTCAGGTTCCACGTGATGAGCAGTGCCGCTCTGTTCCTCACTCGTGTTCAGCATTGCTCAGCTTTACACGTCGTGAGCCAAACGAGCAGAAGTGCCGGGCCTATCGGCAATGTCTGCGCAGGCAGCGCCGAGGGTGGTGTGTCCGAGAGATGTGCGTCGGAGAGGGTGTAGAGCGTCCGGACATTTGGAGAAGAACGTCTTGTGCATTGAGCTGGGTATATCTGAATACGGACCACACATGCCCGAGCACATCTCTCGGAAGAAGCACACCGGGTTCGGAACCAGCGATGAGATTTGCATCGGGGTGCGCCTCAATGGGCAGAACTGAAATGCTTCTGCTTGACCTGCTAAACCTGACTTGACAGCACTTGGCAGTTGCTTTTCCAGAACACATTGCCAAGCGGCTGGGCTTTTTGTTTTTCGTCAAGGCAGTGTGCCTGACCGGGTGACTTTGCTGGGCGACCAGCCAAAGTATCAGTGAGATATATCGACTTGTACACTGAGGAAAGCCTTTACGCTCCTCAACAAATCTTCAGGACAAAGCGCCTTGGACAAAAGAAGCGAAGCATCTTGAATGTAGCTTGAGTTAGTTCTTTTTGTTGCAAGTAAGGCTGCAGCTTAGCATTTTATCAGCGGAATACATACTGAAATTGTTCAGTGAACCAACATGGGCTACGCCTCGAAGACAGCCCAAGTGCCACTTGTATTTGTGATTCTTCACGCCGCAATCGGACATCGGTGCACCCTTCTTCATGCGACACATGCGTCTTTTCCACAGAATGACTGCGCTGCAACCTGCGGCTCAGTGCACGGGGCTGTGCCAAATAGGTGAGCTGAGTGCCTGCGCCAACTGAGTCCCAATGGAGGGAGCTCAGCATACGCGTTACCAGCCATTGAATGCTCAGAGAGGTGCGCCATCACGAGTACAAGTGAGCAAGGAGGCTTGCATTTGTGTGGCGTCCTCAGAGCCAGGAATGACAAGAGCCGTAGTGACAGTGACAGTGCGGTGCGGATGATGGTTTCCAAGGTCCTTTGTATCTATGACTTTGTGTCGGATGTGTGGGCGGTGCAAGCTAATGCCCATTCCGACAAGAAGCCCCTTCACATTCTCGGCTACTTGGGGGCTGCCCTGCTCATGGTTTCCTGCATGGTGAACATGATCATTGTCAGACGAGTCACCCGAGTTCATCGTGAAAAGCTCTTCAAAGGAATCAGCAAAATGGCACCTTTGCAGTACTACATGTCCCGCATTTTTGCTTGCAGCAACCCAGAGGTCATGTGCAGCTTTCTCATCATGAGAGCCGACGCGAATCGGCCGAGACAACTCCAGGAAATCCAAGTTGCTATCCGCGAGCTCAAAGAGTACGGCTTGGTGTCTCAGACGTTCGAGGACATTCCACAATTGTTGGTGCAGGCCTACTCGGCACTCCTCTGCATCTATCATGGATGGAAGGTGCCTGTGCCCGTGTTGGCATCACTCTGCATGTCTTTGGCCATGGTGCTTGTGAAGCTGTTGGGCAACTGCTTCGTGCCGGCCTCAGTCCAAGCCAACCAATACGTGATACCAACACGTGAGACCAAGCCCTTCAAACTTCAAACGCCGAGGTGGCGGCCATTGGTGCCACCGCGAGCAATGCGAGTTTGTCTCAGTTGGCAGATGACCAAAATCGCCACATCGACCTACCGGATGCACTCTCAGCCATGCGTGTCTTGATCCAGGCCAGCGGCCCGCTGCTCTTTGTTTTAAGCATCCGCTTCTCATTTTTTCAGATGGGTCACCATTCAAGATTCACCTTTTGCACTCTGCGGTAAGCAGCTTTGGGAGGCTGTGCTGCTGGCCGGGAACATTGTGTTTCTCTATAAGTCTGGCCCGATCCCCTTGCCGATGCACCTTCCTGCTGGGCAGCTTATAGGAATCATATCCATCATCTTGTCCTACATTCTTTCATTTCTCTTCAACATGTTGTTGGTGCGGAGGCTGCGCGACAAGCTTTGGCACGCATTGCTGAATTTAGAGCTGGCAGTGGTGTTGCTGTTCTTTGGAAGCCTTCACCCTGCAGCCCTTCGTCTCATGGATGACAAGCTTCCATCGCATGCTGGGTGTTGGTGGAGGCTGTTGCTGATAGGGCCAGCTGTGCGTGGCATGGCAATGGTAGCTGTCCTTTCTTGGGCAGTTTGGAAGTCAGAATTCCCAGTGGCTGAGAATATTTGCATCTTGTTGCTGATTCTCAATGGAATTGGACTTGCAGACCTTGTGGCTTCCATTGACGAGATCAATGACGATGAGAGCAACAGTCCAGTTCGTGACATCTTCACCGTCGCACAGGTAGAAGAGGAAGATGAAAGATTGAACAAAGAGGCCGCAGAGAAAGAAGAGATGATCAAGGAGCTTGAAGAGCATCTCATTCAGTGTGGCTTTGAGGCCTACAGTGAAATACTGGTAAGTGAAGGTTTTCACTCCAAGGAGCAGCTGATGGAGCTGACTGAGGCTGAATTAGTGCAGTTGGGCCTAAGCCAGCACGAGGCAGCGAGCCTTCAAACGCGGATGCAAAGGGTCAACACTGGTGATGGAGCTCAAGGCTTTCTGGTTCAACTCCGCAATATGGGCGTTTCTACTGCCATTCTCAAGGGCAAGACTGAGTACGAGGCAGGGTGGGAGCTTGCAGGTAATATGTTGCCGCATCTAGCTGCTGATGGCTATTGTACTTTCTTCAATGATGTTTGTCGTGGGCTAATAAGACTTGACTTCAGAACTGACCACTGAGCTCTCTGACTTGGCTTCAAAGCAAAGTCTGATGAGGGGAGGTCCCTAGGCGGTGAACAACTTGATAGTTAATTCTAATAAAATTATAATTACTAATAGCTTCTTGTTACTACTAGCAAGGCACTTGTTACTAGAAGCGATGCACTTGTTCCTAGACTCTTTTCACATGTTTACAGTTTAAATCCTGACCGCTCTACATTGCTTTGCCTCCATTGTGTGCATCGCTCCGTCTCTCGTGCTGGCGTATCTCTTCCTGCTCTGTGCTGTTGATTCAGCGCTGGCCTTTTGGAGGCCTTTAGTTTGGCCTTTGGTTTTCGGGCATCCCACAATCTGCGGTCGTTGAAAGCTTCGGCGTCTCGTCTTCGTGACACCGTCGCAGACCTGCGGCCTTCACGCGGCACGCTTCACGCGGCGACGCGCTACACGTCGAGAAGCTTTGGGTGAGTTTCGCCGAAAAGTCCCAAGACTGGGCCGTGAAGACCGGGCAGTGAAGCTTCGTAAAGCCGGCATTGGAGAGCTTGAGAACACTTTTGGCGCTCTCAAGATACACCTCAAGATGCCCAAGAGTCACCATCTGTAGATGCATGACCAAGCCCGTCTCGCCTTATAGAACGAACGCCTTTCATACGGTCATTCAGTGCCGCGCCCGTGTACAGCATCTCACCAGCTGAAGAGCCCTTAGCGGGGGACACCAGGAAAGAACAACTTCTGTGCTCCCGGCCACCCAGTCACGGCTTCAGACGGCGCAGCCGGCTGCGCTCAGGTAAAGCGGGCGGCCCACGCTGGAAGCGACTTCTTGCTCTGTAGGCCGTTCATTTTCCACCAGATATTCATGCCTGACCTGGTAGTTCTGTGTTGCTTCATTCTTTCAACAAGCTTTTGGAAAAAAAGAACGAAACAACGAAGCTCTTCGTTTTTTCAGCCAGTTCCGGGAGTCGCCAGGTGCTTTATGGGCCTGATGCCGGACAGGAACTTCCACTTCGTGAGAGGAAAATGTTTCTGCAATGGCGACAGGAACGTCTTCAAGGCCAGATCTTGACCGAGGATGTGGTGATGTTGGGCATGTCTGTGCGAAGGGGTCCTTCTTGGTGCTATGATCCTTGGATCAATCGATCAATCTTTGAGTGGCCTTTGTGGGTCTTGGTAGGCCAGCGGTGCACGTAGCAGGTGTGAGGGGTATTGCAGGCAGGACCAGAAGTGTTCCCTTCGCGAACGACAAAGGAAAGATGATAATGAACTTCCATCACCATTGATTCTCTTGCCTTAAGACTCCGTTGTAGGTTGACGTGAGCTTTTTGTTTGCGGTCTTTGCTGGTATCATTGATTACACATATGAAACCTATACCAGTCCATACCAGTCCTAATTTATTGGTTTGACGTTGAACCCATGGTTTGTCAGTGCTCACTACCTTGGTTTGTTTGCTTTTGTGTTGCATCAGCCTGTCAGTTTCTTGTTTCTCAGTCTGTCAACAAGGATTCTGGAGACACCACCCCGGAGGATGGAGAAGGAGAAGGTCGTGTTGTGGCATGGCGCACTTCAGCTGGCCAAGTCAGAGGCAAACCTGAGTTAGCTCCATCGCTTTGTGGCTGGGTGCGAGTTGAATGGCTCGTAACAGGTTACCAGAAGAATTATCGCCTAGGCGCCGTGGGCGTTGGTGTGACTTTCACAAGGGACAGTGATCTC